AGGGTCCTATTTAAAGGACCTTAAGCGGCCTCATTAGCCTCCTTACTTCTAGAGAGAAACCCTATTTGCTTAGAGTGAGCTAATAGAGAGAATAGACATAATTTTGGGCATGTTGTGACCTTTTGGAGGAAGAAGTGGAGAGCATCAAAGCTTGGATCAAGAGGAGGCTTTCGGATCTAGAGATTCTTCAGAGTTTTGCATCAGTTGGAGGTAAAAAGATGCTAGCTTGATCATTTCCTTATGAGATCTTGTTTTAAGGAACTTTTAGGGTTTTCTTCCATCTATCTTGTGTCATGGAGTGATTTGTGCATGGCTTGAGGTTGGAACCTCAGATCTGGACTATAAGTGGCCTTTTCAGTCCATAGACTCGAGTTTTATTGAGCTGGAGGAAAGCTCTTATGCATCTAGCCCTTGTTGGTGCATGTATTGGCATCATGAGCCTTATATGCCATGTATGAACATAAATCTTGCAGCTTGACGTGCTATTCGAGCCTTAGGAGGATAGATATGGAGTGTGGGGCTATAGATCTGATGAGATACGTCTGAATGAGGATTGAGTTTGAATGGACTCGCCGAGTTAATGAGTCGATTCGATGAGTCGGTGAGGGTTTGTCCCGATGAGCTTGATCACGATAACTCGGCAAGTTGGGGGTCAACTCGACGAGTTGAGCTGGACCTTGACGAGACTTCTGAATAAACGAGTGGACTCGACGAGTCACATGGGTGCACTCGACGAGTCGGGTCAAACATAGCTGTTGACTCGAGTTTGACTTCTATTGACTTTAGGGTTGGGTCAATCATGAGTAATGGAGACTGTGGAGGGGTAAAATGGTCTTTTATCCACTTCAAGAGTTAGAGAGAGAAAGAATAACCTTTGGTTATTAGAGTTGTGAAACGAGTATTAATTAGAGATATTCATCCTTTGTGTTAGGCGGAGGCTAGTTCGAGAATCGAGTACGAGGTGTAATTGCTTGCTTGTTTCAAGGTGATTCTTCTCACTATACTTTACCTAGAGTGGTAACTTTGTGTGATTGAGATGTATTATGTGCTTACATTGTGTATTGTTATATCCTGCATTATTTTTTTTGTGATTTATGTTGTGTATTATTTCAGAGCTTACAGAGTGGGGGACCAAATGGTCCATCAAAGTTGTAGGGCCGGATGGTTCCAATGAGACACATTGACCGGAGGGTCTTACTATGTTATAGCCTCGAGTGGCTACAGAGTTGTATGCGGTATTTTAGGGGACTCACTAAGCTTCGTGCTTATCGTGTTATGTGTTATGTGTTTCAGGTTTTTCTCAGGATCACAGGGAGGCACCGGCTTGATTGTACACACAAACAAAAGAGTTATGTTTTGAGGATCCTGGATTTTAATCAAACATTTATGGAGTTGCGATTTTAAATTAAATAAATGAGATTTTGTGAAATGTGTATTGAACCAAATGTGATTTTAAATTGAAATTTTGGTTTGAAAATTTACGGTGAGACAACCTCGCATGGCCTTTAGTCTATCCACGCCGCCCTAGGTCTATTGGCCTTTAGCACAAAGCAGGACCACCTCAACCCAACCACACATACAAGCTATGTCGACATATA